GCTGCTGGCAAGTAACTGCTGTCGGTTCGTGTGATCCGGTGGCGTATTATTTTCCACAAAATTCAACTTCCAAAAAGAAATTCGCGACTGCCAGTGGTAATACGAGGAGGCTGGTGCGTCGACCTCCATATTCGGTCGAGATTTGTCCTTCAGCTGTTTGGCATTTGACAGCTAGAGTCGGACCAAGCTCGACACAGATTGGGGACATCGTTATTAGCCAACAGTAGCTAACTTGTCCCTACATATCAGCTGCCTCAGCGCTGTATGTGCGGCAATAACATGTCAGCGCCTTTACCTGCCATTGTGCCTGCTGCCCGGAAAGCCACTGCGGCGGTGAGTTAACCAGGCAATAATAAAGTCTGGATAAATAACTACCCAGCTAACTAAATAACTAAATACAAAACTGCTGCCAAATTCTGACACACAATAGGCTGACCCTTCCTCTGCAACTGTGTTTGTTTGGTTTATAACTTTACAGGTGATATTTCTGCACGGCCTTGGTGATACGGGGTACGTGGAGACAGCCTTGCCTTGATTATTATTGTATGTCTTTAATAGATACAAATAGACTTGTATTCAAACTGGTTTCATTTTGTTCCGACATGACAGGCATGGCTGGGCAGAAGCTTTCGCAGGCATCAGGATACCACATGTGAAATACATCTGTCCACACGCGTAACTATTCACAGCAGCTATAACATTACAACAGAGTGTCTGCAAGCGCTGGGAAACTCTTAAAAAGTCTGAAAGCACCTGATTTAAAGGCCTTATATAGTCTTGAATGTCTTGTCTTCCCCTATAATTCTCATAAAAGGGCGTAAATAATCTTGTTGACACTCTGTTTACAGTCACAGCAACATTCATATGTTTTGTGCAGTTAAACCAAATTGTGATGTTACTTTTGTGCAATAATTACAGTCCCACCATGCCTGTTTCTTTGAACATGAGAATGTCCATGCCTTCTTGGTAAGTGTCACAGTATTTGTGCATATTTGAATGTGTATGTTTGTCACATTCACATTTGGCCTCACATGTTTCTTCTCTCCTGTAGGTTTGATATCTATGGTTTGAGCCCAGATGCAGATGAAGATGAGAGTGGTATTAAAAGAGCGTCAGAGAGCAGTACGTCCATACATTTTATTATAACTTTTATGTTAGGAATGTGCTGAGTTACACTGATAGGCTGTTTACGTGCGAGTCAGATTTGATTGCAAGTGTTTTCTTTACCTTCTCTACAGTTAAAGCCCTGATAGATCAAGAAGTGAGGAATGGTATTCCTTCACACAGAATTATCCTGGGTGGATTTTCACAGGTAAGTGTGGCATGTCTGCAGATGATGCGTTACATTACACTGTTTTTACCGGTGATGATTTACAGCTTATGCAATTATACACCACATTGTATTTGAAAAGAAAAGACACACACACACACACACACACACACACACACATAAGTGCAGTCTAAAAGTATAAATGCACAGTTAAATACATTTGAAAAACAAGACTTGAACACTTAATAAAATACTCCAAAACACAGATTTACCATACCATGCTTAGAGGATGTCAAGAACATGGTAGGCAGTTTATGCCTTATGAGTGAAGAAACTCAAAATTTGAAGGAATTACAGTGTTTAATACTGATAAGTATTAGGAGTGTTACCATTCAGAAAACTATTATAGTAACTTGTACACAGTTTAGTCTTCAGTTAATTGTAACCACACAAAGTTGTGTTGTGTTGTAGTTAGGGGGACGCCTCACCACTCACTTAGTGTACAGTACAGTTAGTTCAGTCTCCATCTAAATCCACAACTCTCTTTAGTTATTTAAAGTAAAGCACATAAATCAAACACAATTTAATGAGTGGAAATGGTGTGTAAACTTCAATCAAAAGGTCAACATTTTGGGAAGTACATTTATTATTCGTTTTCTGGTGGAGAGATGGATGAGAAGATCGACACCACTGTCATATCTTGCTTTTAAACTGTATGTGAAGCGAATGCCAGCAGCTGGTTAGCTTAGCTTGGAAACGGGAAAATAGCTAGCCTGGCTCTGTACTAAGGTAACAGCATCCAACCACCTGCATGTCCAAAGCTCATTAACATTTGATCTCCAGTTTGTTAAATCTGTACAAAAACACTATGCAGTTTTACGGTGGGAAATGTGCAGGATTATTTCTTGGCTCTGAGCTTCAGGAGGTTACTGTGCTCGGGCCAAGAAATAGTCCGGCACTTCACCCCCTGAACTTTCAGAATAGATCACAAGGTCAGTACCAAGATGAGAACTTGAGAGATTAGTGATTCAACAAATCAGCTGTCAGTGTTGCTTTGTGCATGTCAAGCTCTGCAGCGACACACACTGTTCGACAGCACTGGACTAGAAGTAATCTGTATGTGAGCATGTAATTACAAATGGACACATCTTTAAATCACAGAGAATAACAACATAACAGTAAGTTTTTTCATGCAATAGAAACCTGAAATTAACTCCAGTCTTTGCTGCTTTGATGCCGATACTTTTAGGATTTTTGTCTCTGTTGATAATAGCCGCAAACAATTTTCAAAAGCTTTGGGTTTGTTCTATCCAGGGCGGAGCATTGTCTCTGTACACGGCTTTGACAACTCAGCAGAAGCTAGCTGGTGTGGTCGCTCTGAGCTGCTGGCTCCCTCTACGCAAGTCCTTCCCTCAGGTAGAAAAAAACATGACGCACACCAGTTTGCACTTGTGCTTTTCTGGAATTGTTCGTCCTCCTGTTTGTTAGTTGAAATTTGACACATTTTAATTGCTCAAATATACATAAATGTCCCCAATGTTCATTTTATTGTGAACTATTCCTTTAATTGAATTTACGGTTTAGGGATATCCCATAGCCAAGTCATAATCTGTCATAATCCAGTAGTAAGAATAATCCTAATCTCTTCTATTCTCAGGCTTCTGCCAGCAGTGCAAACAAGGACATGCATGTCCTTCAATGCCATGGAGATGCTGACCCCCTGGTCCCGTTTTTATTTGGCAGCCAGACAGCAGAGAAGATGAAAAGCCTCATCAATCCAGCCAACGTCACCTTCAAGTCGTATCGGGGTCTACCTCACAGCGCTTGTCCAGAGGTCAGTGTGGGCAAAAGTTACCAGTGCTTCCCGTTAATTAACGAGACCATGGCGGCCCTCCACAGTCTAAATTTGTTCCGACATAGTTATATATATTTTTACACATCTCATAACATTTCAGATGTCTTAACGTTATATTTTGTGGGCACTGCTCCGCACTGCTGTAAGATCATGCTCACACAATTTGGCAACCGACTTGAAACAACCACATTTCTTTTGAGATAACTACAGTAACGTTAACTTTCTGTTTCTGTCACTCGTTCGTGAGAAGGCGATTAAGATAGCTGCACCTAAATTTGGAGTGCACACGTATTCAAGTCTTTATGGTAACTGAAACGGACCAGAGCGAGCTGACAGGGAGGTTAGCGACTTTATCCTGTCAGTTTCTCTCTTTACAAAGACAAGTGTTGCTGTATGAGAGTCCTACCTGAAGAGAGGCTGTGAAGTCTTCATGTTACGCGATACGAGAACCACATACAACATTATTTATCAAATTGGGTCGGACTTGATGAATTTAGCATGAGGATACACATGTGACATGGCCCGGTTTTGAAAATAAGGTACAGGATGGAAATAAGATTAATTGGATTATATTCACAGAAAGTATAAAACATATTACATGTGTCCATTAAAAGAAAAAAAAAAATGTTAGGGAAATTACTTCATAGCCTCATAATTTTGCACCAAATTAATGCTTTTAACTTTAAAATGTACAAACTTTTCTTACATGGAGGTTTGCCCCCGGATCCCCCAAGAAGGTCCGATGGCCCACCCGCCATAGTCTCTTAAAATCCTGTGGGAAACACTGAGTTACATTTGACTCTGGAGTTCTTGTTGCGTTCTGTATTACATACTTAGTTTTATTTTGTGTGTGCAGGAAATGGTGGACATCAAACGATTCATAGAGAAGCAGCTTCCTCCCATCAGTGCTGAATGAACTCTGGAGTAGCCGCACAACCGTACAGCACCGTCTGAGTCCTTTGGGCTTGACGCCAGTGGGACCCCGTGGACTCGAGGAACCACAGACTTACTTGACAATAAAACCACGCTGCTACTCATAGAGCCAGACTTTAACTGGGGCTACACGTTAGCCTGGGAGAGGCATGACTGAAACAATGCTGCATCCTGACCTGGAGCCACACACAGTCCTTAACAGTAGAGTAACAGTAGTTGCTTGATTTTAAAGCTATTTGCCACTGACACAAGCCATTTCCTGTAGGAGACGTATGTATTGGAATAACTAGGGCTATACTTTATGGTTTAATACCTACTATCTCACAATAAATGGCCTGTTGTTAAATGTTCTTTTTTATCAATGTAGCCTATGTGCTGTAGTGCTGAAACAAGTTTATTATTCGATAAATTAACTTAATTTAGGCATTTTATGAAGCAAAAAAGTGTTGTTTCCAGCGTCTCACATCTGAGTCTTTGCTGATTGTAAATCTAATATATAGGGTTTGTTCCGGACAAACCAATTAAAAGACATCATCCTGGGCTTTTTGTAACGCGTGACGGTTGTTTTTCTGTGTTTTTGACATCTTGTATCAAAAGTTAATTCTAATGGAAAGAATAACTTTTTTGCAGCCCTAACGTGAAATATTTCATTAGCTACACAAATCTAAAAATAAAGCATTTTCAAACAAAGCATGTATGCAAAAGTCCTTGCCACAGTGGAACAGGTTTGAATCTGACCTACTGCTGCATGTCATCCTCTCTCTCGCCCACGTTTCCTGTCTCTCTTCGGCTGTCCTATCCACAATTAAGGCAAAAATCACCCAAATAAATTTTTTAAAATACAGTATTACAGCATCTATGAAATCCACATTTGAAGCATTTCCAATAATGTATAATACCATATGAAAGAATATTCTGTGAATGTTGACAACACAGCAAAAACAACATACGATTGTGCTTTATTTAATTTGTGAGAATTCAAATGGCTATTTCACACAAATTTCTTTTTAAATACACAAATATATCAGTGGTCGTGGTCATGTATTCAGTTTGTTTCCCTGTTTTGTTTAAATTAAATATAAATAGGACTAATATCACAGTATTGAAACACACAGACAAGATCTATTTCTGGGTATCAGCTCACTGAGTTGTAAAAACTTTTATCTTTGAGAAGAGCTGAAAGCACCAACATGTGAAGTCGCACCACTCACGTTAGAGCCAAGGTGCTAGTGTAGAAGATCTTATTCCAAGGCACTTTCCTTCCTCTTTGTCCAGTTACTGTTAAATAAAACCTACTAGTTTCTACAAGAACTGGATTATGCATTAAGGCCCACAATATACCTAAATACAAATGCAGTGCTCACAGATACATGCGTTCCCTCATTAAACAAGGTAGAAAAGTGCAATGTCAAGCGCTAGGGAATATATAAAAATATAGATGTGTTCTACTGATGCTGGATCTAGCATTTGTTCTGGTTTGCTCCCAAGTATTTTGGTAAGCTAATCTTGGGAAAATAAACAGCAGTTACAGCTGGATAAAGACCGGTTTTAAGTGGTGTTCATTTTCTTGTCTGCCTTTCTCTAAATAGCAGGACTCCAACAGGAACACAAAACTCCTTCGGGTGGGACGCATGCGCCATTTTGAAAAGCTAAGTGTGTGGCAGTGGAGATCTCTATGGCTCCGGGGGAGGCTCCTCCAGGCTCTTCAGCAGATCTGTGTATGCAGTTGAGTTTATGTAGCGGGGGTACGAGTCTCTCTGCATCAGCGTGTAGATCTGCTGCTGAGCGTCCTCGAACGTCTGTGAGGTCGGCTCCTGCATGTTGCGGTTTATCACCTCTCGAACACGTGAATCCAAACTGACCTGTAGAAGGTGAGCGGATAAGAAGACTGAAGCTCTATTAAATGGAAACACATCACATAGAGACAAAACGAGTGGTGAATTAATTGGTTAGTGGAGGGATAGATAATTGAAGGGTGTGTAGCTACATGTCCGACTTTTGCACTCCTCTCTATTTCATCAGCTCTTTTAGCTAGCATGGATAGCAATAACTCTCAGCGCTCTTTTGCCGCTGAAGAGTCATACGAGGCAGGGGCATACTCCCTCCAGAGCCCCAAATTAAATAGACCCTAATGAGTCTTTGCTATTTTGTCAAGGTGAGGAGGGGACACCGAATTTGGCTTAACTGGCCCTTTAACTTAGGGTGACCAGACGTCCCCGTTTTCTGGGGACAGTACCTGGATGTGATGGCCTGTCCCCGTCTGGAGCTGTCCCCAGAAATGTCCCCGTTTTTAATTATGTGTTAATCATAGACTGTATAAGGTGTTCACAGACCTGAAATCAGATTTACGTGGCCAGAAAGACTGAAAGCTGCATCAGGGTCAAACAGACATAATGTGCAAATAAACATTTATGTCCGTGGTAATAGCAAAGGTATGTTTTTGTGAAACCGTAACATTTCTATTTACGGAATAATCACAATTGTGTCCAAATAAGTGTTTGCAGTTCATAACGTAACCAGGCACGACATTCACATGATTACAGGCAATAATAAAAGGCTGTTGTTGCTGATGGATTATGTGTTTGGTAGGCGTATGTCTAATATCCTTGTTCAAATATGGAAATCAGACTGTAGCCTATAATCATATGACTTACTGCTAAGTTATACATACATAAAACCATGATCTCTTTTGCAATTATCCTTGTGACTCTACATTATTTAACTTGCGGTGTACCGACCAATCCAGTCCTTGTTACCTGTTGAAATACCTTTATATGGCCAAAACAACACATAAAATGCAGTAGTCTGCTTACCAGAAAGTGATTGCAGCCTCTACTTATTGACTGAAAGGTTGTTTCTGCCCTGAAATGACTTGAAATATATTCATGATGGTTATATTTGACAGATTATAAAACCGCAATTGTCCTCCTTTTTTATGTCATGTTTAATAACATGACATACTGACCACCAAACCAAAAATGTCCCCGGTTTTCATTTCAGAAATCTGGTCACCTTACTTTAACTATACGGAGACGCACCCTGTACAAGCTGGTTTTGAGCAGCAAAAGCAGTTTTTGAACAAAATATGTGTATTGTTGGGGGAATAAAATATATGCCAACAAAAATGTTGTAAACTCAGCTTAAAGTGTAGTTCTTCTTTAATTGGTAACTCTTCTTAGATGAGAAGCTAGAGCCAGTAGCATACTGTTAGCTTAACATAAAGACTGGAAACAGGGTCAAACCTCTTTCCAAAGTTCAGAAATACTCTAAAGCTCACGAAGTAACACACTTTAACTTGTTTGTACAATATACAATTAAAGAAAAAAATGTATTCGGACAATTAACGAGCAATTTGAAGATGTCTTCTTGTTTTCTATTATAAAGGGAACTTTTTCTGACAGGACAAAACGATATGAAGTGATTAATCAAGAAAATAATAATCAGTTGCAGACCTAAATGATTATTTTCATTATCACTTGCCTTTAAATTAAACTATTTTGTCCAACCAACAGTCAAAAACCCAAATATTCAGTGTAAATGATATAAAGCAGAGAAACGCAGCAAGTCATTTGCCCTTGATAAATAATCAATTATATGTTAATATTATATCTTAAGCAAATAGTCACCTCTTTAGGGGAAAGGATTGAGATGAAGTCCTCGTATATTTGACGGACTTTCTCCTCCACCACAGTCTTGTTGGTCTCCTTTTTGAGCTCCTCGCAGGCAAGCCAGAACATCATGTTCTCCTCGCTGAACTCTGTCCTCAGGAACTGCCTGAAGCAGCTACGACCCGCTGCACTCTTCATCACCCTTTCAAATGACGTCGTCCAGGAGCGAGCATCTTCCAGAGTAGGCTTCAGGCTTAAAGATAAAACAGAGGATGTATTGGTTCATCGTTATTTAATTCTCACAGTAATGGCACACCGTTGAAATGTTTCGTAGAAAGGGTCACAGTGCTACCTTTCTTCACAGTTAGTGGTTTCCTCTGTTGTGCGCTCAAAAGTGGACCTTTGGATTGTCTCATCTTCACTCCTAACAGTCAAACTGGAAGAAAAAACAAACAAACAGACTTTCATTGATCAACAGGCCATAAATAGCTTGTCAAACTGTTTTGATTTGCCACCAGGATATCGTAGCCGAGCATTTAAAATAACTCCAGAGTCCTTTTATTGTCAGTCTTCCTTACTAAAAATAATGTAGTTGGTAAGAATCTAAAATCACACCTCGCACTAAATTGGCCAAAAGTATGTGGACACCCGAACATTAAATCCCCTGTGTGAGTGATGAGCATCTCATTCCTTCTGTAACAGCCTCCACTCTTCTCTGGAGGCTTTCCACAACATTTTGGGATTTCTGCTTCCAGTTCATCCGAAAGATGTGGGATGGCATTTGGGACAGGGGAATTTAAGTTCTTAAGCACCAAACTCCAAAGATAATTTCTATGGATCTCACTTTGCACATGGGGTCAGTCAGATTGTATAAAAAATATAAGATTTCCTTTAAGGAATAGTTTGACATTTTGGTAAGTGCAATTAGCTTCCTTGAAAGTGGGATGAGAAGTTAGATGCCATTCTATATCTGTTTCTCAATCTGCGTTCTTGTCTGTAACTGTGTTCTTGTGGACTTGCGAACGTCATCAGTCGCAGCTCAAGCACTGTTCCAATTCAAAAGTCTGCATCTAGCCAACTACAGTCAAATACCCAGTATGTTCTTGCTCCACCCGTTTTACCGATTATGCATTGATGGTGACTTGTGTGGACTTTCGATAGCCAAGTATCCCAGAATGCATTGCGCAGCAACAAGCGGAAATAGCAGAGAAAACCCATAACTGTAAGTTATATATATATATATATATATACTGCTGTTATTGTGTCATGTAATACCGTTTTAAGAGGTTTTCATGTGGGAATATAGTTGTTTAAACTCCAAATTTGTGGTCGATTTCTGAAGATATGCAGAATGCAGATGCAGAATGATGCTCTGGTCCCTGGAAGTTTGTACTCCTGAGCCAAGCTTGCAAAGTCCGAGCTTCCAAGTACAGAAGTCCGAACTTGGGGAACTCAGTATTGAGAAACAGCTTATGTCTGTATGGAGCTAGAGCCAACAGATAGCTTAGCTTAGCACAAACGAGGAAACAGCCTGTCTTTGTAGGTAACAAAAGATGCCTACCAGCACCTCTACAGCTCAGTAATTAACATGCCATATATATTTTGTTTAATCAATACAAAAACCAAAAGATTAAAATTTACACTTCATGTTTTTTACAGATAGAAAGGCCGGGACAACCGGGGTTTGAACCCGGGACCTTGCTGTTAGGCCATAGTGCTATCCATTGGTCCACCGTGCTGCCCGGCAAGAAAACAAAAGTGTGTTTCCCAAATTGTCTAAAACTATCCCTTTAAATAGAAGTAAATAGTGTAGCCCAAACGATGAAAAACAGTCTAACACCCAATCATGCACTTAGTTTCTATTGGCCTGTTGTACCACATGTTGTTTCATGTCATTTGAAATAACAACTACAGTAGATTCAGGATGATCTACTGGGAACGGTGGTGTAAATAGTAAAGTGTGTCAACTGTACACACCATCCTGAGGGAATCCCCTGTGCGTAATTAAAATGGCCCTAACACCTCATGTAGCAGCTGGCTGCAGATTAATTGGCTCAGGTAAGAGTCCATTGCGAGCCAACCCATCTGGGAATGTGGCTGTTGTAGCTGTGCAACAATTAGACGGAATTGATACAGATGTAGAGACAAAAACGTATCACTCATTCCCAGTGGAGTGAATTAACATGGCCGTGTTCTGCACACAGCAGGTTGGCTGTTCTCAGAGGAAGCGCAAGTAAAACGTTCATGATTCCAAAGCAGATTAAAACCCAGAGGCTTCCATCCAATGAGATCCAGTGTGGGTTACAGGACCACCGTGTTTCTGTTTTTCTGGGATGATGGCGTGGGCTGTGGTGATAGTGTTGAATGAGTGGGAAGATGGAGGCCAAAAGGAAGTGGTATTCACTATTGAGCTGCCACTACCAAATGAGGGACATCTTCCATCTTCATTTAGTGCATCACAAATGCATAATGTGTTATTTTCCACTGGCTTTTCAAAAAATCCTCTACAGACTGGTTACGAATTTGTGTACCAGATAAACGAATAGCTGCCAAGAAACACGGCGTGTTGTTCTGCACCTTTAACTCGCACATGATAAAAATATTCCATCTACCAGCTTTTTTGAAAGTTTTCTCGCATTAATATATATTAATATCAACTCTCAGATGTTGGAAATTAAGATTATATTAATGCACCACATAATTCTACAACTTGCCCTTTGGACTGCATGAAAACACAGCCTAAGCATATATTGTGTGGCAAAATTACAGTAAAGGCCTGAAACATGCACTTAGAAATCTAAAGGGAGAATAGTCTATTGCAAAATAAATAGTATATTGCAAAGGTATTGGATTAATACAGGTAGAAATAGACAGCACAACTGACATTATTATGCATAATGTGTTATATAAACTCCCATCAGCCATCAAGGACAGGCAGAGATATGAATTGTTAAGTGTATGATGAAAAATTATATCTTTTATGATTAAGAAATCAAACCTGCATAATTATGGTTACATTTTCAATCCAGTCATATACTAGGTAGTCAGAATGGTGTATCATACAGGCTATTGCATTTAATAATCTATGCTACAATAGAAAAGTTTGTACTGTAACACTGACTTCACTGTCACTTAGGGGTACTGACTGCCTAAAACAGAGTAAAGCATGTTGCCTACACCTGCAATATTGATTACTTTAACCATCAATTAATCTACAGACTATTTTCTCATTTCATTGATTTATTATTTTTTCTAAAAGATTGTAAAGAAAAAGGCCCATCAGTCCCACAGTCTAAGGTGACACCTTCAAATATCTTGGTTTGTTCAACCATTAGTCCAAAACCCAAAGATATTTAGGCTAATTTACACTGATTTAAAACAAAAAAAAAGCAGAAAATATTCACATTACATTTTTTGCTGTATACGTACTAATCAATTAACCCGACTAATTCCTTCCACTCTTGTTTGGACTTGAATGCCTCTGTGTTTTATTTTACTCCATGAAAAAATGCTTACCCTTTCTTTCTCTGACATATGGTTCAGCAACTGCATAATCTGACTTCATGAAGAAGAAGAGGTATTTCCATTTGTGTGTCTAAAGAGAATGATTAAGTTTAGTGATGAAAATGAAGAATAAGCCAGTATGTGTTATAGCTAATGGATGGATGACAGCAAATTAGCAGCCAAAACTATAATTTCAACCCAGAATGTGTCCAGTTATGTCAGTAAATCATTACATTTAGAAGGCTACACACAACGCAGTATATGGGACTTGGACCACGTCTCCACCACCCCCAGCCCTGCTGTGTGAGCGGCAGTGTGGTGTCATTACCAGGAGCAGCTACAGCAGCAGCACCAGCAGAAGCAGCAGGCGTTTGAGGCGTTGGTAGGGGTGTTTCCCATTCTGTGGTGCGCTTGGAGGACACTGGCAGCTGCTTCCTGAGGAACCTGCATCTGTCTCTTACGCATCTCCACCCGCTCTGAGCCCATGGACTGCGAGGAGAAGACGGGGAGACCGCGTGTGAGAGCGTGGCTGGATGGTTATTACCGCATTGAGCATCACGAGATCCAAGGGATCACAAGACATTAAAAGATCTGTCAGGAGGCGCGTAGAATCCAAGAAGGCCTCCATCCTCATCACGAGAGAATGCCTCGACCCTGGTCGATAAAGCAATCAAACATGATCAGTGATATCCTGGAATCCTGTAAAATGACAGCGGTTATTGCCAAATATAAACAACAGTATCTGAGGTAGAGGGAAACGTGTCTTGCGGAATGCAGCATCGGGACGCGTGGGGTCAACTTCTGTGCGATGCAACCTCAATAATCGACATGTTTGAATCCATAAACAAGGCGTTTAGGTTCAGATATCGCAATGCAAACAGCTCGAGAAGCCAATGGCAAATGTCCTACCGGTTTGTTGGATCATGCTGAATGTGACAAAACCAAATTATGATGATCATCAACCGCCCTCCTTCTCCTCCTCCTCCTCCTCCTCCTTCTCTCCTCTCCTCTCTGTCTATGAGGGATGAGCAGTAATGATAGCGACAAGGCGTTACTCTGGGACCGCAGCAATCGCATCCATCAGTCGCATCCTCGGGAGGACACACACACACACACACACACACACACACACACACACACACACACACACACACACACACGATGGTCGATTCAAGACAAGCACCCTGAAGCAAGCAGCGTGCAGCCATTTATAGAAACATAATGAAATTAGTACTTGATCAGAAAAGCTGATAATTTACAGTCTAGATTATTATTTTTTCCTTTCAAGGCAAAATGCCGCACATCTGCTAATATTCACATTTGTATATTGAGCGATATTATCATTTTAATGCAGATGACAATATACACGAATTGAGGATGAATACTATTATTTCTGCTCGCCAGAGTATCCAGATAAAGATGCTCCAGCCTCACTGGATCCTGGAATTCATCCGCCAAAAAAACACACGAGGGATTATAATGATTTTATTACCCACACTGTTCACAAGTCAAATATAAATGTGTACTCACTGTGTCACCATGAGTGCCAGAATACAGGTGATATTTGACTCGATCACATCCGTCTGCCTCGACCTGACACAAACCAGTTGGTTTCCTCTACTCGGTTACGCGCATGCGTTTCCCTGCAAGTGTGAAAAGATTTTTCTAACTGGCAGAACACAATGTGCGCTGTTTGTTACAGCAATGGCTTCTCCAGGACAGACTGACTCTGCCAGACCATTGCATAAATGCACAAATAATATTTAGATTTCATGTTACTGATTACAGTTTGGAGATAAGCTGCGGCTGATGTATTATCAGTGAACTTTATGATATTGGGACCATTTCTAGTGACGTAAATGATGTAGAAATGTTTTTCCCCTCTTTTTTTTGCCGTTCCATTTAAACCACATACAGGATCGTTCATAAAACTGCATGAAAATATGCTAATGTATAAATACTGTGAGGTAATTCTTGCTTCTTGACTGTCAAGTTTGGAAATGCATTCCTCTTAAATGGGTAGATGGAATTTAGTTCCATACGCCAAGGCTCTGAATAATTCACCTAAACATCTGGAAAACCCCAGTTCCGCATCTGCAGCTTCCCCTCTCCTGATGCGCCCAGGAATCCCAGTGCCGCTGGTGTCCAACAGAGGGCAGTGGTGTTCCAACTAAACTCGGTAGTGCTTGCTGGGACCGCAAAGGATGAAGAAAACATGTACAGAGCAAGTCAAGAGAGCTACAAACTTGACCAAGTAAGTGCTAATAAAGATTCTTCAGCCTGAATTATAACCCAAACGCTGTATGGACTCTGTTTTGCCTTCAGGTGTGTACAGGTGCAGGGCTGGAGACATTAGAAATAGCATACTGCTGTTGTGGAATGTTTAATTTTTTTTTAGTCCTTTCTATTATATATCTTATCAATTTTATCTGCCCACACAAACATCTAAATGCTGCTGGAAATTAACTCATAATACTCAAGTATACTGAAAATAATAATACTTTACCAGAGTATTTCCATTTTATGCTGTTTTTTTTTTTACTTCTTCTCCCCTACATCTATCCGCCAGCTGTAGGTCTATTAGTAGTTGCTTTCAAGAGTTATATTTTGCCCAAATATTACAGATTCATTTCCAACCTTTTTGGCCTCTTTGGGCACCACTGGACTCAATTCCCTAAGTATATATGAAATGGTTCAAACTAGCTCCACCTCGACCAGCTACAACAGTAAAATGCCAAAACTTAATGTAATGTATACTGTAATATGAGAATATACTCAGTCACAGGGGCCATTTTTCAGCAGAAGCAATATTTTCATATTTTATATGTTTTGGTGACACTTTTTTTTGCCATTGATTATATTAAAATCTTGTCAAGTAAAGGGTCATTTTCCCACTACTGGAACAGCCTTAAATAACCTGTCATGTGTAATTTCTGTTTCTGTATGCAATGTAAAAACTCCTTCTCAGATCATTAAAAAAACCCATATTCCCAGAAAGAATTCTGTACTAAGACCCCTTCTACATGAGGAGTAAATTGAACTTGGGATATATATATATATATATATATGTAAAATCCCCCTCTCACCCCTTGTGGGGGCATCCTTGCGCAGTCTGCACCTGAGGTCCTGCCTGGTGTGGTAGACCCCAGCCTCTATTGATCTTGTACTGAGTGCCTGTTCTTGTGCCGCCATGATTAGTGCTTCTGTGCTGTCCTTCAGTCCAGCCTTTTCCAGCCACTGGTAGGATTTCTTGATATCAGCCAATTCTTCTATTTGTCTGTGGTACATGCCGTGCAGCAGCATCTTCCTGATGTTCCCCTGGATCTTTGTCATTTCATCCTGGACAGTGGTGTTGACACTCACTAGCCCTCGGCCTCCCTCGCTACACTTGGTGTACAGTCACAGGGTGCTGGATTTGGGGTGAAACCCTCCATGCATTGTGAGGAGCTTTCTTGTCTTGATGTCAGTTGCCTCTCTCTCTCTCTATATATATATATATAAAATCAAATCAAGTACATCTTCTCATTCCTGCTCCCAGAGTTCATTGCACAGCACAACTTGTGAAATGAGATTATCCACTGCAGCTGAAGTTGCAAATATGACATTGGAAATATGCTAAATGGTGATTGTAGCAGAGGAGGAATATCCATCCCCTCCACTTTGTATGTGTGACACAACTATAAAACAAATTCACTAAGTCTCTTTTTCTGAGCCCTTATCATAAATCACAAATCTTGTAGCTGTAGTAGTAATCTTTGACGGGGCCTGGCTCTTTATTATAAACTGTCAGCAAATCCAGCTCCACTGTATAATTTCTAAATTCAATATGGTATCAATTTCAGAGCTTGCATCCTTGCACAAAACAGATCCAGCCTTCCAAAACACAATCAGTAAATCATCCAGCCATGCTGAGTGGAAATGTGCAGGTTCATTCACTCTGGTTATTATGTTTCCCATTTTCCCAGTAAGGAGCTCGATTCATTACACGTCATTATTCCTGCTTTGGCAGAGAGTAAAAATCTTTTAATGAGTTGAAACGTCATTGTTTGTCACTAATTTTTTTTGCGCTGTAATTTAAAGTAGAGTTACGTACTGTGAGCCTCTCTCTGGAGTTTATCTCAGAGCCACAGAGGTTTCCACTATAATGGCTCCTGTCCCTTTTTTATCCGGTTGATTAAAAGACTTTCTTACACTGCTCCATAACTTGGCTGGTCATGCTGGACTGTTGCATATCTGAGTGAGAGGGAAGGCAGAAAGAGCCTGCAGGGCGCCGCAGGGCTCTGCTGCAGAAAAATAGTTGGGGAAGGCGAGGACACTTGGATATGTCCTAGGTTAAATCACATCCACTGTTTTGACATATTTGGTTTCATTTGGAGAGTTTTCTCAGACCGATTTTATCAATCTGACTTAGTAGGAACAGGTCATTAACTATGAGAAGAGAATGACGGAGAAAAGGTTGTAGCAAGAAATGTGGTAATGTGAAATGGACACTTTCTTTCAAACCCCTTTATTTAGTATTTATAAGCAGCACATAAACAATTAATACATCATATAGACATGAGGACATGGTTATAAATGTATTTTCCCAACAACTATAACTTTGTGTGTTATATATATATTTATATATCGTGGCATATGTATGTGTACAAACTACTATTATATTATTATGGTCAAGAATGAAACTTGAAGCTCTTGCTGAGAGTTATATGAGGCGATCGATGCCACTCTCATATCTACAGTCTCATATCTACAGTTAAATAAAAAAATACAGACAGCAGACACTTAGCTTAGCATAAAGACAGGAAACAGCTAGCCTGGATTGATCCAAAGGTAACAAAATCCCCCCTTCAGCATCTCTAATGCTTACCAACTGTCGTTCCCAACATGTTAAAGGTGTAAACATGGCAGTTTGACATTTTGCAAAGGAAGTAACTGCTCCCAGCTCCTGTGCACCAGATATGGATGTTTTATAAGAAAAGCTACTGACAAATACATTGATAAACACTTGTCCTTGAATCTTCGTACCGTGTGTTATAAAACATTTATTTAACCTGCCACTTGTTGGCAGCGGAAACAGGGTGTGAACACAACACTGAGATCTCATCACCTTCTGAGTTGTTTGTAAACACTTACTATTTATACATCCAGCAGTTAAGCAACATTAGCATTCATTTGGAGTTGTGTTTGTGTCCACCTGATGAATGCAAGTCCAATATTCACTTTCTTTTAGCTCCGGTTTTTGGTCCCTTCCAACTCCTGAGGGAAATAGCTGCTAAACGCTCCTCGATGTTCACCAGCTAGGTTCTAACTGTGTCTGTCTGCTATTTGGTGCTGAGCAGGTAGTGTACAGTGGGTTTTCTCTGAATACAGTGACCTGCTGCAGCTGAAAAAAACACTGTGTGATGAACCAAAACATTAAAGCTGAGCAATGAGCTGAAACTCGCCGAGGTGAGCCGCAGATTCGGGTGATACTTCTCTGTAGGATCATCATAACAACCTCTTTCACAGTGTCATTTCATTCATTGTTATTATGAAAACATTGCTTTAAGTGTTTGTGTACTATAAATAGGAGCGTTATAGTAAAGTGCTGCTGAAAATAAGCAGTTTTTGACAATATGTTTGTATATTAAGTTTTCATTATAAGACACTGCTGCATTTTGAATCTGGTCTCTGAACTAAATCTCTCTCTCCGTGTAAAATAGTCAAACAAATCTCAGATTAAAATTGTGTTCAGTGTTGAGTTGAGCCTTTTCAAAAATGATCATTCATTGATCAGGGGCGGTTATTTTTCCAATTTAGACTTCTGTGCACATATGGGAACCATTTTGCCACTCTCTGTGAATTGCAGCGAATTTTCAGCTTAACTCAAAAGGAAGTTGATTTGTCATGATTGTAAGCAGCCGCAAGCGACTTTATGGATTGTCATTTGACTGCAGGAGAGAGAGGAAGGAGAGGATGGAACTGAAGACCTCCGACTGCATGCAGCTCCACAGAGTGGCGTCATCATTCAGCTTAATTCACTTTCCTTGTAATAACATTAGGTCTACAGAAGTGTCATAATTTGGCCCCCAGATGTCTCAAGTTTTGGTTACAACTTTTCATAGGGTTCTTTGTCTGTGGTCTGTTGTGACAGGCAGTCAGAGTGAACATCATCCATATGAGTCTTTGCAGCAGGGCGGTGGAAACACGGTGATGAATATTACCTTTCTAGGATTTGCAGGAGAGCATTAAACTTTTATTTTTCATTCAGGAATTGAATTAAAAATGTATGTTGACTGCATTTTGTACAATGTGTGCTCCTTCTGCAAGGTGAATAATGCTTTCTAGTAGTAGTCCCTGCATGTTTACTTGTATTTCTACATGCATAGTGTATTTATTTTCTTATGTTTCTTAAGTATGTCGACAACCAAGCATTACACCCTTATGCGATTGTCATTCCAAAACCATGGACACTTGTCTGCTGCAGTAACTACATCCACCCTGCTGTGAAGGGTTTCCACCAGATTTCTGAACCTGGCTGCAGGAATTTGCTCAGGAGCATTAATGAGGTTAACCACTGATGTTGGGCGAGGAGTCATGCCAGTGCTCTATTGTCTAAAACAGAAGATAAGGGAAGATAAATCTTA